TCAGGATAGCTGCATTGGACAGATTTGAGAGACTGGATCAGCAAGAGAGCCCAGGAGACAACTTAAAACATCCTGTCAGAGGAAAACAGTTTTGCAGCAATCTTTTTATATGCAGCTGTCCTGCCTGTTCACTACTAAACTCTGAACTTGTAAGCGTATGAGTATGTTTTACAGCATCTTGGAGAAGTGAGGGTTTTTCTCTTTTTTTGATTTTCTTTTTTTTTTTTTTTTTCCTGTTGTGCCTAAGGAGTTCCTCGTGCGGTATAGTGATCTAGTTTATCTCTCTGGACAGGAGTGAACTGTCTTTAAAAAACAGAACTCCTGACCTATAGAAAGCTTTTCCTTTAAAAATTGCATAGCAATAAGTTCATGCAGTTGTTAGACTTCTAATGTTAAACAGTTTGGTGTGTGAATGGGAGAGGGCATTGCCATGCTTACGTGTACTTCAGGCTTGATGAAGAGAAATTAATTGCTTCTCTCACAAAACTGCAGGAGATGGTGAAAGTTACTGGTTAGTATGTGACATAAAATAATTTCTTGATTTAGCACTCTTCCACTGCTTCAGGTAGAACTCTGCTGTTGTCAGCCCACCTGCAATAGACTCCGTGTGAAAGATGGACATAAGTAACTCTTGGATTTTAGGGTTATTGTTTTTGTTTTGTTTTGTTTTGCTTTTAACCCATGATTCACAGTTTGAGTAATACTATGTTCTTTTGTCTTCTGTCTCTAAGGGCATTACCTTCCAGGAAGTAAAAGCAAAAGTCTGTTGTATTCTTGCTTTGTATAGCTTAGGTGGCTACGTGTTCTTAGAAAATACATTACAAAACTTCTCTGACTAGTTTCATTCGGTTTCAAGACTTGTTTTATGGAAGAGGTGGAGCTGAATTATGAAGATAGGTTTTGTATTGCTCTTTTTCTTTTTTTTAGTGGCATTCTGGTGTCTGAACTTGAGTTCTATTTTTATAAGTCTTTTCCCAAATCTTACCTAGTAATTTAAAGAAATAAATTCCTCTTTTTCCATTTGCCGTTTTATAATGGTGAATTTTAAAATATATTTTAAAAAAATAATACTGCAAGGTGTCCCTGAGCATGTGTCATTATTAGAAATAATACATGTTGGGATCTTGGTGAAGATTAGTCTTCGGATTTTGTAGTACACGATTGTGTGTGTGGTAGATAAATTGTACGAAAGCTTAAGTCAAGAGCTCACCACCCTTTGCAATATAATAGGCTTAGTCCTCTCTGACCATAAGCTGCATATACTCCCTCAAGTCAATCAATTTCATTACAGTGTATGTCGAACTTGAAAGTATCACAAGGTTTCAGGGACTTGTCAGGAACCAAGATGCCCTTCCTGCAGACTTTCTTCCAAAAAATGGATGCCTGGGGCAGGGGAGAAGAATCGGAGCTCAGTTGTTTCTGTAGCTTTTCATCTCATCAAAATTAGGTCAATGTCAATTATGACACAACAGTGACTGTAAATAAATAAATATTTTTTAAAAAAAATTAAAGGATAATATTCAGGATTTGTTCCTCAAAAAGTGACAGACTTTTAACTGACAAGTTCAGTGTCATAGCTGTGCTATGAACAAGTGCAGTCACAGCTGACTCAGCTGGCATAGATTGTACAAGAGTGTCAGCTGGAGGCCCAGAGTAGCCCCTCTACTTTGCAGTAAGAAGTAATGGGGTCATGATGATGAGAAAGTTATCTTGCACAGTTGCAAGCTGTGATACCAATACCATTTAGTTGATCTTTCGATAGAAACTCAAGAGCCAAGGAAAAAAACCCACTCCTTAAAAATGACAATATTTTTTTTTGAAGTGTTGAAATTGTTTTTGCATCAGTGAACTAATGGCAAAAACGAACTGTTACAGTAGGTAGTGGTTCTCTTCTGTGTGTCAGTAAAGGCTGTGCCCTTTTTCCACTCTCAGTGAAAACAAGAGAGAGGAGAGAGTGAGCATTGCACAGAGTTTGGCCACCTCCTCTGGACACGTACATCCTTCAGAAAATAATGAGAAAATCCTTTTCTTTCTGTACATGGTGCCCTCTTGTACAGATGCTTCCACAAGGAAGTAAGGAATCTCAGCTGCGCGCTCAGTGCTGAGGAGAAGTTACAAAAATTGGTGTGATGCAAAAGAGCCCGTCTCAAGCTTAAAATAACTAATAGGTAGTTTAGGGGTGTTGCTATACTTCTTGGGGTATTTTCTGAATGGATGCAGGCTTTGCCCAGAGAGCAGCTATGGGCTGCTCATGAACTGTATCTGAACTTTCGTGCGAAATACAGGGCATCCAAGTGAATTCTCTGCACCTATGATGAGGTTTTACTACAGCTGATTTTCAATTAAAGTATTGATTCCTGCTAAGATTGGCATTTTACATTCAAAACCATGGCTATGCATCAAAGCTTTGAGAGACAGGAATGCTTTCTGTACAAGAATGAGTGATCTTTAGCTCCAGACTTGTAACTTCTGGTTAGAGAATTTGATCAGAGGCTTCTCTGACATAACTAAAGCAGTTCTGGAAAACGTTTTTTGGTACTGAAAGAAGATACCAAGCGATCTGTCATCAAATAACAGCTTTGATGATGGACTTTGAGCAGATTTCTGTCATTTGTGAAAAGTCTGAGTAGATCCTTGAAAAATTTAGCAAATTTTGAGTATACATTCAAACTTTTTGAATTTTGGAGACATAAGAAAAAATCAGGAGGACACATGTAAGAAAAATAATAACCGTAGAATCATAGATTCTAGATCATCTAGTTCCAACCCCCCTGCCATGGGCAAAGACACCTTTGCCTATATCAGGTTGCCCAAAGCCTCATCTAGGGGAAGGAATATTTATAATATCTAGTTATGAAAGCTAAACTTATTTAAGAATGAGAAGTATGCTGCATATAATTTACTATATAGACAATACAGCTGCATGGGTATATGTTGTATAGGTATTGATTTTTATTTTTTTTACAGCAGAAATATGTATGCACGTGCCGTGAATATGGCTGCCTGTGCAGATAAATTGTTTTTGAGTGGACCAGAGGTCTGATCCAGTTCTCATCGCAAGTGTGCTGAGCTCCTTTTCTCTGTTAGGACAGGCAAGGTACCTTCTGTCAGCTGTGAGATGGGTAACTGTAATGTTGAGACTCAAAAGTTAATTTGACGTACAGTATGTAGTTCTATCAAAGTTAAGCTAAGATTTGTATTATTAGTAATATATTTTGGAGAGTTAAAGCACATCACCAATACGTCTTGTGACTGTTACTCGAAAATACCTTGGAGTTTGTGCTGAGATTAAAAAGTTTCACATAAAATTATCTTTATAAGAATCAGAAATCTGTAGGGAGTGAGTGTGGTTCCTTGTCAGACTTCTGAGGGAAGAGGAAGAAAGATAAAATTTAACAAAGTCTTTTCTGAATACCTTTTCTGGCCTCTTAATCTTTGGCATATACAGCTTGCTTAATAATGGCAATGTTTGAGTTTTGAGCTCCAGACAGCAAAGATGAAAGTGCTTCTTGCTCCAGGATTTCAGTTGCTGTCAGTCAGGGAGAAGGGTTTACTGAATAGTCAGGTTTAGTGAAGAGTGTGCTATGAAAAAGTTGAGTTGCAACTAAACTAAAACTAAAAAGTTCAGTTGTCTAAAATGCTGATACTTCTCATATGCTTCTGTGATTTTTGTCACTGAAATGCTGTGTGGCTATCAGGAATAAACATTTCTAGGTTATGGTTGCAGGGACTTAAACCTGCCTACGTTCCACCGACGATATGTAACAAAGTTTTAAGTTTACCACAATTTGAGTACTGCTGGTGTTGGCAATTGTCTGGTGGTTCAGTCTGAGGGAGAAGCTCAAGACTTCCTCCCCACCTGGTTCTTGATCTCTTCAGGACAACAGTTTGCACTCAGATACTACAAGCAGGGAGGGCCAAGTCCTACACACACAGCTTCTTTCACAGAAGGTGCTTGGCACAAGTCTGATATGTACCAAAATACGGCTCTTACCTGCCCCAATAACCGCCAAGACTCTGAGAGACCTTCATGAGACTTTTGAGGGATTTCTGTAGGCAGTGGCCTTTGGAATGTAACCAGATGGGCATAATGGTTACAAGCAGAAGTCCTAAATCATTCTGGCCTCTTGTGGAGATATTAGAGAAAACGTAGATACAGTTCGATGTACTGGTTTATTTGCTGTTATATAAAAGTGCGAGATACAGCTGAAATTAAACAATAGTTGCTATAGAATTGGCTTCTAAGAGCAATTACCTCATTTATGATATGTTTCTAGCCCCATATGTGCAAGTGAGCTTATTTTTTTTTGTTGTCTGCTAACTTGAATGATAGATTCGTTAAAAAGTGCTTCAGATTGTGTAAGAGCATTTTTGTGCTTCAGTCATGATCAAATTTTTATAATCATTTTAGGTATCATTGAAGGTAGGCATTACAAATGTCTTTAAATTATGGTTGTGCATACTCTCATAATAAATTTCTTCCGTAGAGAATGGTCTCAGATAAACTTCTTATGTCCCTAAGGGTTTTCTTAAATGATCGTTTCAAACTGTGTGCACATTATGTTAATTATTCCTTAGAAAGCAAATAGCCACACTTCTAGTTTTAACCTGAAAGCAGTGCTGCTTACTTGCTTTTTTTAAAAAAAGCTGTATGTTTCTGTAAAATACTTTTCATGTTAATATGAATTTTTTTTAAAAAGCTTAGAATATAAATTGTATATACCTTGGCTTGTAGCCAGTCTCATCCTTACTGCTCCCAGGGCTCATCTGTTGGTCCATCCACAAACTGGCTGTGGGTTGACAGAGTATCATACAAATACTGTATGAATATTATTTTTCTACTGATTTTGATCTGATTCTTAGGGGTTTCGAAAATAGCCTTAGTGTGTAAATGTTCCTTCAGTATAGGATGCCAGTTATGATTGTTTAGAGTGGTTACTGTTGTTCAAGTTTGGGTTTTTAATCTGTGTATGTGAGACAGGGAATTTTCGTACCCAATTATGACACCTTTCCTCCCTTTATCTCTTCCAGGTTTTGGTCGGAAGGATGTAGTTGAATATTTACTTCAAAGCGGTGCCAATGTCCATGCGCGAGATGATGGAGGCCTTATTCCTCTTCACAACGCTTGCTCTTTCGGTCATGCCGAAGTTGTCAATCTTCTGTTGCGGCATGGTGCAGATCCCAACGCTCGGGATAATTGGAATTACACTCCCCTTCATGAAGCTGCCATTAAGGGCAAGACAGATGTCTGCATTGGTAATTTTCTCCCATTCTTCCTGTGACTGACTCATTTCTCTTCACTGTGAAGATTCAAGAACCTTTTAAAGACTGTTTTTTATTCTATGAAGCTATGGCTGGTATAAGGATTAAAACTAAAAATCTTTCATAAACTTAAATTCATATGCCAGTTTTATAAGAAACAAGTTTCTAGATCTGTTTTTGATAGTTCCTTAAGTATAAAGGTTCACATTGACATCATGAGGAAAGAGCTTTAGAGTCTCATGATGGAGCTAGATTCTTTTCTGCTACAGCCTAGGCTCTTATGCTGCCTTCTGCTGCTACTCACAGTGCAGTGAAAAGAACAGAACTGGTTTTAATAATGGTTTCATTCTGTCTTTACGTGTAGCAGCCATCTTAAATTAGTTAAGAGGAGTGGTGAAACTTCAATTATATTGACCACTTGTTTTGCCTACACAGTTTTCAAGAATTAGGAAGAGGTAGAAACTCGGGTAGTCAAAAATCTAATTTTTTGATTGTGTGGTTTACTCTCATTTACTTTAATTAAGGAGCACATTTGGAGAGTTGTAGATATAACATTGCCTGTTTGGCCCCAATATGAGTGCAAGATGCGTGGCCTGCTGCTGCTGTGTACAGTTTAGGGCGTAGTCACTTGTGGATTGGGGCAGCATGCTCTGGAGCTGATGTGAAGTAGCTACTGGTTTTTATGGTGTGTCAGTTGCAGTCTTTCAGCTGAGATTGTTCCGTTTCTGCTCTGCTTTTTTCTCACAAAAGGTGTCTAGGCATGTTTCACTAGTTCAGCTGTTCACAAGTGACATTAAGGAATTCTGACATGAAAAATTTGAGAGGGGAAGTTAGGACCGGTAACTGGATGTTTCTTTTGTTGTTTGCATCTTACATTAATGATATGTCTCAGAAGCCTTGTGTTGCTGAATTGTTTTCTTATGGAAAACTTTGGCATTTTGTAGTACTGCTGCAGCATGGTGCTGAACCAACCATCCGGAACACAGATGGACGAACAGCTTTGGATTTAGCAGACCCGTCTGCAAAAGCCGTGCTGACTGGTAAGTGATAATCTTCAGATTTATTATAGTCGAATGAATGTAATACTGTATTTTGGGTTTTGTCTTTCTGATATTACTATAACTTCTCTCTGTTTTCTAATTCTAAATAGAATTTCCCATATGGCCTTCATCATCTCAGATATAGGACGATATATGTTCTAGACAAACAGTTTATTGCGCTAGTTCGGTAATGGACTGTCAAATTTTTAGCATTTATGTTCTCTAAAATTTTGGAAGAGGAGGATAGGTAGTGAACTTCACATATATAGATATTTATTTAACAATTAAAGAAACTCCCTTTTGTCTTCCAGGTGAATACAAGAAAGATGAACTCTTAGAAAGTGCCAGGTACGCATGTTTGGAAGATAGCTGGAATTTAGTTATATTTTCAGAATGTTATGTAATGAATGTATATATTGGCTTTTGAGCTGGCATTCCATCTAGATGCTAAGCTTTGACTGTTATCTGTGAATAAAGCTACAAAAATAGTTATACATATGCATTTTTGCTTTCCCCTTAATGCTGACAATACAGAAGTGAATGTATCACTTCAGAACACATCTGCTGAACATTATAACAGGAAAAATATAAAAATATAAATAAGCTACTAAAAACTGGAATAGAGAGAAAACTGCCCATTTCTTATCTTGTTTTTCAGGAGTGGAAATGAGGAAAAGATGATGTCTCTTCTTACACCATTAAATGTTAACTGTCATGCAAGTGATGGCAGAAAGGTATTTTTGTTTAAAAACTGATATAAAATTATTTCACTCTTACATGTTTCAGTTATTGTTTGACCACATTTTAAGAATGTTAAACATAGAATCTGTTTATTTCTTTAATATATGTGGGAAAATAAGATTGTGCCTCTCTAGCAGCTAGCTGATTTTTTCATTTGTTTGTTTTTTAACCTTAAAAGGACTATGTAGGTATTTCCATCTAGGAGCAATAAACAAACATCTTTTCAACTGGAACTTCTGCTTGACCTTCGTATCTGCAGTGATAAAGAAGGGAGATCTTTTCATAGATTATTGTAGCTATCACAAAGAGGTACCTGCAGGCCCCTTCTTTGCCACACACCCTAGGTAAATTATCCTTGCTGTTGCAGGAGCAAACTATTCATGGCTTTAAGTTTTGGTAAAGAACTACGTGAAAAATGTTCAAGATCTCTGTTCTAAAAAATCCTGACAGTCTCCTAGGTTCAGCCCCTAGCCTACTGAAGGTTCAGACTATTATAGAGTGTGAATTTTTGGCGTCCTCATTGTTCTCATTAAGTATGTGTACTCATTCACTTAAGTTTTGTTCAAATGAGTTTTCCTCTTTAAGGCTTTGTGGTAAGATATTGGGATCTCCATAATAGTTACATATCTCTATTTTTCTCATCTTCTGGTTATGAGACTCATCCTCTAGGAACGGTCCAAAGTCAGTTCAGTTGATGGGCTTGTAAATGAATAGGACAAGATATCTCTTCACTAATTTGTGGCTCTGCCCTTGGTGCTGCTGATGGATACGCTTGAGTGGGTTTGCTAGGAAAGATCATAGAGCAGACCTGACCACTCTGCAGAGGGTGAGAATTTAAAAGAGAAGATCGTTGCCTCCACACACCCACTAACTTAGTGCACTCACAGATGTGGATGACAATCTCTGTTGATAATTTCTAAACTTAATCTATTGATTGTCAGGGAGACCTCTTTATAATGTAGCAGTCATCATTTCTAATAGCCGTCTTATTTCCCCTTTCACAAGGGACATAGTTTGTCCCAGCAAAGCATTTATAGTTATGGTAGGCTAAAAGACAAAAATGGACTGTAGGACTCAAAAATGCATTAAGAGGGCCTTCGTTGCCAGAATGTATTAGTGATGGAGCAAATTCAGTGTTTGTGTTTAAGAGGACTGGGAGAGTAGTCAGTAAACAATGAACATAGTTATGAAATGACTGATTCAAGCACTCTTTTTGAATGTTGAAAGTATTTTAAGGACTTCAGTAATTAGTATTGTTAACAAGTTTTAAAGCAAACAGTTACAAAATCAACCCTTGGTTTAGTGTAACTGATTACTTCTACATTCTGTCATTTCAGTCTACTCCTTTACATTTAGCAGCTGGGTACAACCGTGTAAAAATAGTACAGCTCTTGCTGCAGCATGGGGCTGATGTACATGCTAAGGATAAAGGGTAAGTTCATTTTTCCTTTTTTTCAGAATAAACAGAATTTGTTAAAAATCGAGATGCAGTGAAGAATAGTAATACTATTTTAACCATGAAGAATTTTTTTACTTGAGAGCGTTATGCTGTCTTTAACCTTTCTGTTATGACAAAATGCAAAGTGTACAGGCTTGAGACTTGTGAATCAGTAGAATCCAAATTATGCTGACCATAGAACATACTACCTTTTAGGTATCACTGGCCAAATTATTATCTCTTGTTCCATAAAATGCCTTCATACACGACTGTGAGTTCAGCAAATATTTAGATGATTAACTCAGTCTTAATTTTCTTTCTACTTTTAAGCTTCTGTGCTTCTTTTTGCAAAGAATATGATAAAAATTGAAGACTTGTTTTCCAGAGGTTTTATTTGGACTACGTTTTCAAACATTTGGTTGTTATGTCAGGAAACTTAGTGAAATGTAGACATGCCAAGTTTAGTTACATAAAATATAACGAAAAAACCTAGTTTTAAAATGTGTATTTGTGTACATTAAAGATTATGAAAAACAAACTCTTATTCTTCCGTTTTTCCTAGGATCTCTTTGCAGCTACATAAGTAGCTGCCTGATCAGACAGCTTTAATTGTCCTCTTGTGATTGGATTTCACTTTCGTCGTTTCTCCCTTACCAGCCCACAGTGAAAGAATTCCCTTTGGGCAGTTTCTCGTTTGCTCCTAAGACCACTGGGTTTGAAAGAGTATGAAGCTGGCTTTAAAACCTCTGTAGTCCTGCTGTTACTGTAGAATATTGTACAGCTAAACATTAGCCAGTAAGACTTTTTAGTTTCCAAGGGAGAAGTAATGTTACAGAAATGTTCTTGTGAAAAAGGAAATAATTACTGTCCCTCCTGAAAATCAGCGGCCGATAGTTCTTCCTGCTTAGGGTTCCGAGTCTGAGCAGAACCATTTCGTTTGCAGTAAGATGGTGTAATTAATTTCTCATCTTTTTATTATTTTGAACGTTTATTGTTCTGAAAAATGCTGACAGGATTTTCTGGGTTCTTCTCCGGCTTCGTATTTCCCCTCAACTTCATTTGAACATCTGTGATATTGTTTTTGTTAAATGCTCAAGGTGCAGCATAGTGGCATTTGCAATGTTATAGATGCATTTGGAATTCAAATATGCATACTAAGATAATCATCCTTCCCTTTTCTCTCCAATATAGAGATTTGGTGCCACTTCACAATGCCTGTTCCTATGGTCATTATGAAGTAACAGAGCTTCTAGTAAAGGTTGGTCTTTAAAGAGATTGAATTACATATTACTAAATAAGAACAGTTTATAATAGACTAATGCAAGTTGGATTTTTTTTTTTTTATTTTGTACTTTGACTTACAAAACTTAAAGAATGATAGATGCCTTTTGCTCTACAAGTTAGTGATTATTAAGCTGCAGCTACAGAATCTTCTGCTGGCAAGGAAGCTGTTTCCTTATAAATGCGCTTTGTATTTTTAACTCTATCTGCTCCAAAGTTGAATGGTTTCGTACTACCAAGTAAGTACTTCTAATCTCAACCTTCCCACCCTTACACAAAAAAAATACTAAAACTGAGCAATATTGTGAGTTTGACAATAAAAAAATATTTCAGAAGACAGAGTATTAAGGAGTTCTTGAAAAGAATAGTGGTAAATATCATAAATGTTTTAAAATTAAAGAGTAATCAGTCTCTTGAGGGAATGAACTTTACAACATCGATTCTGGCCCTGAATTGTATCCTTCACCCCAAAGCAAGAAAAACATACGAATTTTCCTAACGTGAGTGAACTCTCAGAAATGAATTGGTTTATCTGGATTATGTTAATCTTGAAGCTAAAGTATGATGCACGTTAAACTAGTGGCTCGAAGATGTGGCCTGCAAAAATCTGAGAGTGTTGTCCACCAAAGGACTTTTGAACTATGCCCGTTCTCAGCTGCTACAGCAAGTCATGATCATTACAACAGCTGGGGGTGTTCTATTAGATAACTCTAGATGTTTGGATGCTCAGGGAATGGCTGTTACCGTTATATTCTGCATGTCTCAGTCCTCACTAATTCCATGTGTCTTTCTATTTGTTTAGCAAAAATTAAGTAAAAAATTATTGAAATAAGCATATATTGCAGTAAGTACAAATAGTCAAGATTTTTTTTTTAGTTCAGAGATCAATTATAAAGTGAATCGTTAAGAGTTGTGGTACTACAAAAAAAAAGCTTCTTGTCTAGACACTACTGCATTTCTTAACTGTTAAGCTAGAGCTGTGTTCTGTGCTCGCAGCCCAGAAAGCCAACTTTATCCTGGGCTGCATCCAAAGAAGTGTGGCCAGCAGATCAAGGGAGGTGATTCTGCCCCTCTACTCTGCTCTCGTGAGACCCCACCTGCAGTTCTGTATTCAGCTCTGGGGCCTTCAACATAAGAACATGGACCTGTCAGAGCAGGTCCAGAGGAGGGCCATGAAGATGATCTGAGGACTGGAGCACTTGTCCTCTGAAGACAGGCTGAGAGAATTGGGGCTGTTCAGCTTGGAGAAGAGTTGACTCTGGGGAGACGTTATAGAAGCCTTCCAGTACCTAAAGGGGGCCTATAAGAAAGCGAGAGAGAGACTATTTTTTGCAAGGACATGTAGTGATAGGACAAGGGGCAATGGCTTTAAACTGAAAGAGGGGAGATTTAGACTAGATCTAAGGAAGAAATTTTTTACGATGAGGGTGGTGAAACCCTGGAACAGGTTACCCAAAGAAGTTGTGGATGCTCCGTCCCTGGAAGTGTTCAAGGCCAGGTTGGATGAGGCTTTAACAGGAGCAACGGGAAAAAGCATGTCCTATCAGACTTGCTTACAAACAGAACTCCAAGTGCGTGCAGAATGTTACCGGCAAAGAATTACACTGATATCAATAATTCAAGAATATTACTTGCAGAACCTTGTACTTAAATGTTTTGAACTGAAGTCAACTTTGAGTGCTTATCTCCTTCTAGGTATCTTGGGGACTGTTCACAGAACATGTATTTATCTTAGTGCAACTGTTCACTCTAGACTTTTTCTAGATCAACAAGAAACAGAGGCTTGTTCAAAGGTGATTTGGAGTATATTAGGAATTAGACTCTTTCTCTGATTTGACCTGTAGCAGAGCTGCTTTCCTTTTAAGAGATGCTGGAGAAAGCCTAAAGGAGGCTAGCCTGCCTTTGGCTGCTTTGAATGTACCTGTGAGACACTAGGCGATTAAAAACTGCAATGTGCTGAAATGTGTTATATTGAAGATGAATGAGTGGAGAATGTCTTGCATAGAGTTTGCATATGAACATTGATTTTTATTTTAACAGTCTACTGCATTGAAACTAATGACAGAAGTCTTTTTCTAATGATCTGGTTTTGATATTGCATCTTTTTTACCCCTTTGCCTTTCAAGCATGGAGCATGTGTGAATGCAATGGATCTGTGGCAATTCACCCCTCTGCATGAAGCAGCTTCTAAGAACAGGGTGGAAGTATGTTCTCTTTTGTTAAGTTATGGTGCTGACCCAACGCTGTTGAACTGTCACAACAAAAGCACCATTGATTTGGCTCCAACACCCCAATTGAAAGAACGATTAGCATGTAAGTATAAAGTGAGACCAGTTTTACAGTTATAGATTGTAACGTGTACTTAAATTCCCTAGACAGTGACCTGTCAGAAATCAGATTTGGAAAACGCTTACGCCAAGCAATTGTGCAATGTTAAACAGTACGCTTCACTGTTTATATTTTGAGATTGCTAGATTTTTCTGAATGTAGGCATTTAAAATAATTTTATTGTCAGTTTTATAGTCATGTGGTTGTGACGGGTTTTGTACATTTTCTTCCGTGAATACACGCTTTCCCTCACGACCTTGCCAGTACACTTTCATTTTCCACACTTGCTCTTGTCATTGCATCGAGACTGTTGAAAGTCATTTTTATTCCACTGTGTTTTCTTTGAAGAAAAACCATAACTGTTTGGAATGTTAAATATGTTTGAGTATGCCACAAACGCTGAAAGTTCAAAGAAATTGATGAAAGACATTGATTATTTTTTTTTTTGTGTGTGTGTCCAGAAAACAGAAGGAGTGGGAAAGAATGCCCTCAAATTCTGTCCTTTAGTGGTCAAACAATAACTTTCTGGGATGTGTACAAAAATTATCAGTAAATGCTACGTTAAACTTTGTGTTAGCATCTAGAAATGATTTTCCAAAGACAGGTCAGAAGTAGAGTTTTATATTTGCTTGAATTGGCACATATGTGAAGAGGTGAACCTAGAACAGTGGTGAGTGAAATAGATCTTGTTCAGCCAGTTTAAATGTCTGTGGCTTTGGTTTAGAAACAAAGCACATTCCTGTAGTGTTTTGACTTAGCTAACAAGTTCTGTCAAGTGATGTAAAAGCTTAATGCTTGCACTATGGTCTGCTGAATAAAATGAATATTTTTACCTAACTGAAAGAAACAATGCTCTTGATCCCTCTTAACGAGTTAAGAAGTGTAACCTTCTGGTATGTATTTCTTTCTTTTTAAAGATGAATTCAAAGGTCACTCACTGCTACAGGCTGCAAGAGAATCGGATGTAGCTCGTATAAAGAAACATCTTTCTTTGGAGACAGTGAACTTCAAGCATCCTCAAACACATGAGACAGCATTGGTAATATCTCAGGATTTATTAATTATTTTGCATATATTGTAGCACACTTAAGCATACTAGGTAATAGTTTAGAACTAAAAATTTCAATGTCAAACGATGTAATTCAGACCAACCTAGAATATCCGGTTTCTAGTTAAACAAGTAACATTGATTAATATTTTGTTCTTAAGATTAATGTTAAGACTAATCTAAATTGCCTGTTTAATTTAGGTTGTCTAAATGACTGTTTTTCTGTGGAATGGTCTAGTTTTAAGCAACAGCAAGCTATGTATGTTAGCTTTGTTTGTAAAGCCTGAAGGTTTCCAGCAATTATTGGAGGGGGAGCTCTGGAACATACCAGAGTAAATCCAAAAGCCCATGTGGAATCTCCTGAACTAATAAGCTTCTACATGTTGGCTTTTCTTTTTTCTGTTGACTTTGCACACAACCAACTGTTAACTGCCAGCTGATCTGCAAACAGTAAAACCTGTATATTGATAGCTAGTTGTTAATGCTATGATTTTTAATGTTCTCAGCACTGTGCTGCTGCATCTCCATATCCTAAGAGAAAACAAGTATGTGAATTGCTGCTGAGGAAAGGAGCAAACATCAACGAAAAAACAAAAGAGTGAGTGGTTACAAATGAATACTCTTAAGTGCTTGTTTAGAAGATTTTGCAAACTACTCTTTGAATTATTCTTTCTTTCTTTTTTTTTTTTAAAAAAAAAAGCTTCTTGACTCCTCTGCATGTGGCATCAGAAAAGGCTCATAATGATGTTGTTGAAGTAGTTGTGAAACATGAAGCTAAGGTATGAATTACTGTTCATACTTTTTTTCATTGAGGTTTACCTACTGTACAGATTTTCATACTATGAGAACGGACAGCTGAGTAGACAGTGTTTCCTAAAATAATTCATTTTGGAAGGCTGTAGATTTATACACTTGAGGTATAGGCCATCAATCCATCAGTACACTGCTATACATTGAGGCATCATCGTTGTTTTGGTCCTATTGTATAAGAAGCGCCGCTGTAGTTCTTCTCATTGTTAACTGAAAGCTCACAGAGTCTTATTTGGTGCTTCATTGTCCAGCAGTAGTGATGAAACACTGAAGGAAAAAAAAAAAAAGTAGAGGATATATACAAACAAGGACAAGCTAGACTGAACCGTATAGCAGGTAGACTTTACGTGATGTTGTGTGCAGCAAAAATGCCATTGAAAGCAAAATGTTAAATCGTAACATAGTGTTTAGTTCAAATTTCCACAGAAAGTGAAAAGGAGATTCTCTGTAATACTTGAATCCTCCAAAACTGAATAGAATCTCTCTCTCATGGAAGTTTGATAACAGCCTGACTGCTGTGAAGTTTCCAAAGCAGTGATCAAAACCAGAGGAACAGTAGGGAATACAAGCCACCTTTGGGCGCGGAGTTTTAAAGTGTTAAATACACCTTGACTGAAACACATAAAAAGTCCTCAATCTGAAAAACCACTATAAACCAGTGCAGATAAAAGCTGTTCTGCGTGTTGGCACTGAGGATTTGTGCTGCCATGAGCAAAATAACAGCCTGTATGTGGTAAAATTGCTGTAACTGTTTGTTTACAGTGGATTATTCAGCTGCCTCTAAAAGGGGGCTATTCTTCCTCAGTAAACGTAGTTATAACTTTATGAACTGCTTTTGTTTAAATTTTATCTTTTGAAATGTCATGACCTTTGGAAGTATGCTGAAACTGTTCTTTTAATTAAAGTGAGAAAAATACTTGTGAAACTCTCCCAGTCAGCAATGAGAACAGCTTTAATATTAAGTTTTGTTGGTGGTATTTCTCATCTATGTTATTTTTAGGTTAATGCATTAGATAATCTTGGCCAGACCTCTCTCCATAGAGCAGCACATTGCGGTCATCTTCAGACGTGCAGGTTGCTGTTGAGTTCTGGATGTGATCCTTCCATTGTGTCTCTGCAGGGCTTTACAGCCTTACAAATGGGGACTGAAAGTGTGCAACAGCTACTACAAGGTACAACGGATTTATTCAAGATACGCTTCTGAAGTAATGTGTGCTTCATTTAATTGCCATTCCAAGTGCTGTCAAGAAATAATAGTGAACACAAGTCAAAAAAAAAAAAGTAGTACTTTCTACAGAAGACAGTACTGGGTTGTGCAGTTCTTATTCCATAAACATGTGCATAGGGAGAGTGCCTGCTCTAGGTGTAGTTAACAATATCATTTACTCTCCAGTATGCAGCTACACAGATTGTCAGAGATGCTCAGAATGTTTCATGATATAGCCACCTGGAATAATTTCGGAAAAATCTTGGCATAGGGAGGGGGGAATCTGGTAAGTAGAAAATGAGTTTCAAAGCAAAAAATGGCTGCTTTGCATTTGTGAGCAGAGGCAACAGGGTATATGGATTTCCAAGAGTAAGGTTTGGACATTTTACACATAGGTAAGCTTCTTGATGCAGTCTAATTCTGAAACTCAAATAAGAATGTTTAGTTGGTTCCACAGTTCTCAAAAGTAATAGGAAGCACCTTGCTAAAGGCCACTTTGCAAACACTGTTAAAGCTAATAGCTACACAGTTGTAGATAGTAAGAAAAGACAAAACTTACCTATAATTGTGTAACTTTTTTTAAAGGGAAATCTTTGAAATACTCAAATCCTGTCTTAACAAATTTCTTCAACTATATACACTTACCTGTCATGCAACCTTATTTATTTTGCAGAAGGTATCCCATTAGGTAATTCTGATGCAGATCGACAGTTGCTGGAGGCTGCAAAGGCTGGAGATGTGGATACTGTAAAAGTAAGCTTAAACCTGTCCTAAAAATGAGAGGGAATTGTATCCCAACCTATAATTTCTCAAAACAAGCAATCAAACAACCCTTCACTGATTGCTTTAGAGTTGTGATCTCTCTCCTACAACCTTTATATTGCACAAATATTACAGATGACAAAATGTAATGTTCACCACCTCCAGTGGTTCGTCTTATATAGAAAACGCAAATAAGAAGTTACAGGTGTGGATTTGGGAGAAGGGAGCATTTAATTTTTTTTTTTCTTGTGACATGATCTGTGAAAAGTAAAGGTTTTATGTATAAATAAATGAGTAAGTAAACTTTTTAATGAAAGCAGTTTTTCAAAATTAGATGTGTATAACAACATTGTATGACTAAATTTTTTGATTTGGAGTATTTTAATACTTTAGAGTGCCAACACTATATATAGTGATGTATGTTTTGTTTTGGGATTTTACAGAAACTATGCACGATTCAAAGTGTGAACTGCAGAGATATTGAAGGACGTCAGTCTACACCACTTCATTTTGCAGCTGGATACAATAGGGTGTCTGTTGTTGAATATCTTCTTCAGCATGGAGCTGATGTGCATGCAAAAGATAAGGGGTAAATACTCAAATGTATGTTTTCTTGGCCATTGTAATTGCTGATGTCTGTCAGCTCTTGAATATTGCTAGCTGATAAGCATCCCATCTTTCTTCAGACACTCAGTTTTTGTATTTTAATGGGAAGTTCTATTAGAATGAAGATGTTCAGAATATCCACAAAAGCATTTTGCGTCAAGAATTTGTCTGGCCCTGTGTTTTTACTTCTCTTCAGTGCCACTGCTGATTGCATTTTTACCACTTTGACAGTAGACTATTGTAGAAAGCATAAAAAAAAAAAAATTTTGTTCTGGTTCGATTGTTGAAGATGCATTGTGTTTTAAGTCTATGTCACTTTGAAAAAAGACTCAATTTTTAAAGAGAATTTTTCTCTTTTTTTGATTATTTCCAGAGGACTTGTCCCTTTACATAATGCTTGCTCGTATGGTCACTATGAAGTTGCAGAACTGCTGGTTAAACATGGTGCAGTTGTCAATGTAGCTGACTTGTGGAAATTCACTCCCTTGCATGAAGCTGCGGCAAAAGGAAAATACGAGATTTGCAAACTGCTGTTACAGGTATTACGTACGTTGGAGAGAGGTTACTTTCTTTTCTCTCTTGTTCAGTTTGAAACGTGATTGGGCTGCTTTGACAAATTGATCTGTGTTTTGTGGTTTCTACATGATTATAGTGAAATGTACCTTTTCAGTAAAAGGGATACTATTAGCAACTATGTTGTCCTTTCTCATGCCATAAGTGGAAGGCGCTCTCTGAAGCATTCAAATATGTGTCAGAATATTTGCTCAATAAGGCATAAGATGCCTAAGATGCAATGTTTTTATTCTACTTACATACTTACCAGCTGGTTTTGATGTGTACAGCATGGAGCTGACCCAACGAAGAAAAACAGAGATGGAAATACTCCTCTAGACCTTGTTAAAGATGGTGATACTGATATTCAAGACCTACTTAGAGGAGATGCAGCTCTACTAGATGCTGCAAAGAAAGGCTGTTTGGCCCGAGTGAAAAAGCTGTGTTCACCTGACAATGTCAACTGTCGAGACACGCAAGGACGGCATTCAACACCACTACATTTAGCAGGTCAGTGTTTTAGTTAGCAGGTTTGATCAGAGTTGCTGTGGCTGAACTTTTTATGTCTAGGAAGTTTAAAGTGTAGCCTCAAGCGATAGGATTCTGTATTTTCTCCTGAAAAAAAAAAAAAAGTATTTTATGCATTTTAATCTTACATTCCTCTTCTAAACTGTTTAACTCTAGTGACTTTAATTTCCGATTCTCTCTAGCCAAAGAGGATCTTTTATTGTTTATTGACAAAAGTTTTAAAACCAAATACCCTTAAGTGGGGTGGTAATACATAATACAGTCTTCACTGGGAATGACATCTTAACTTTCAAGTAATTGAAGTGAATTACCACTTCTCTACAGCCTGTCGAGGATGTTTTTTTAATATGTTCTATTTATTCTGTCCTTTTGCAACCTTCCAGCTGGTTACAACAATTTGGAGGTTGCAGAGTACCTATTACAGCATGGAGCAGATGTGAATGCACAGGATAAAGGAGGTTTGATTCCTCTGCATAATGCGGCATCTTATGGGGTAAATATCTCCAACTTTGAGGCTTTGTTTATTTTAAAAATAAGTAAATAAAAGTGGTATATTTAATTGACAGTATTGTTAGCCAATACTCTCTAGAATGCTTTTGCCATTGAGTTGTAATGTAACCTTATTTGTAAAACGCAAAAAAAAAAAAAATTCTGTCATAGTCAGTTAATAGTATAGGTGAAGATTCCTTAGAATTTGTAAAATCATGGTTGGAATTTACAGAGTTGAGTTTTCTGAACATAAACACTTACGAAGCCAGCAGTTTGAAAGATGTTCCATAAAATGCATTTCCTTACCTGTGCTGGTCAAATTTTATCAGCAGGGTCTCGTTTTCACTTATGTGGCTGATGTTGAGACACTGATTGTTTTTGTGGGCTTCCTGGATCTTTGTGCATTGATCAAGTCTTTAATCTGAACAGTTGGGAGTACTTCCAAACAGGAAGTTCAAATTCAGGCTTTTTTCCTTCAGATTCCCCTGGACGTGGGGTTCTGTTGTCGTCTGTCCTATTTTCACAAAAGAAGAAATCTTAGCTGTTTACTAGTATGTTACATGTGAGGAAGAATACACCTTGTCTTAATGCCTTTTTTAAAATCATAATTAAAAAGTAAATGTATTCTAAGGAAATTCAGAATGAGGATTACAAAGAACTGTCAATAATAGTTCTGAGTTAGTTTAATACACTGGTACCTTGGAATTTAACAGGTGTTTTTATTTTTCAGCATGTTGATGTAGCAGCTTTACTCATAAAGTATAATGCATGTGTGAATGCTACAGACAAATGGGCTTTCACACCTCTGCATGAAGCAGCCCAGAAAGGAAGGACACAGCTTTGTGCCTTGTTACTGGCGCATGGGGCTGATCCTACTCTGAAAAACCAAGAAGGACAAACACCATTGGACCTGGTCACTGTAAGTGATGAGGCTTTTCTTGGGAAGTCTCTACTTACCTGCCATTTGTGGCAGCTCGACTGAAAACTATCCTTTTAAAAAAAACAGTAATACAGCAATTTCTGCAAAATTTTAAATACTGTGATTTCTCTGGTGTTTATACAAGCCTGGTAAGGAAAGTCAGTAGAGCCTTTATAAACCTTTAAATGTTTTCTTGATCAGCCTTCTTATTTAAGGATGGAGTGGGGAAAAAAAACTAACAAACAACAAAAGGAATACATGCTTCTAATTTGATGCTTTTAATTTGGTTCTTTATAGTTTGACTAATACAAAAATTGAGGCAATAAAATGTAAGCAAACTTTGTAGCAACATAAATTCAGGAAACTATCTGGGTGTTAAGTTTTCAAGTGTGTTTTTTTCTAAGTATTGTAATACGATTCAATGCTACACTCAGAGTACTGTTCTGTTTTACAAATTCTGCTTGCCAGTAGAAGCTCTTGTTCGTTTTTCCTAGAAAATGAATTCTATTTAACTGTCCCTGAAGTTTTTTAGAAATATTGAAGTCTTTACTTTTTGTCTCACTACAGTTTTTATTTATAAACATTTTACAGTTTCGTGTATGCTGTTGGCACAAAAGGCCATTTGTAAACTGCATTGTAAAATGCATATTTTTCCAGTACACATTTATTTATTTTGCAGTATGCTTGAGAAGTCTGGAATAATGATAATGCATTCTAGGAAAAAACATGTAAAAATGTTCCTCTGTTTTAATAAGTTGTTTTCTGCTATTTAGGCAGATGATGTCAGCGCATTATTGACAGCAGCAATGCCTCCTTCCGCCTTACCGACCTGCTACAAACCTCAAGTTATAAGTGTGTCTCAGACTACAGGTTCTGCAGCTGATTCCCTGTCTTCTGTTCCATCCAGTCCATCGAGTCTGTCAGCTGCAAGTAGTCTTGACAACTTGTCGGGTAGTTTTTCTGAACTTCCTTCTGTTGTTGGTACAAACAGTGCAGAGGGAGCTACTGTTCTGGAGAAGAAAGAAGGTGAGGTTTTCTCGGTTAGGTACCATATGGTAAAAAGAATTCAGAAGTGTGAAGTTTGCCACACATACACACAGTTACTATGACATACGCAGTATCCCTATTCCTTATGATGTTAATGAGGAACAGAAGTCTAAAAGTCTTGTAATATAAGATTTTAGTACTTTGCCCTTACAGAATCTTTAAAACGTTCCTTTTTTGCTGTACAGAAACAAAACAGTGGACTGTGTTTTAAAAGAGAAGTCAAATGAAATTCGGCTCCATACCAAGCAGAATTTTACTACAAACTTTTATCTAGTTTCTAAGAGGCTATTCTTAGATCAGATATCTTGAAAAGGCCATTTCTGTAATGTTGTAGTTCTCCAGATATTTTCTATTTGAATATGCAGTTCTGGTAGCTAGTTACTTATCTTGTGGAAGCACAAAGACTGCTCTTGGGAGGGGTAGAAATCTTAGAGTACTAGGGTAGATTAAGTAATAGTTGCCACTGGTTAGTAATACAGGTATTTATTCCCCATCTTCAGAAGACCAGGAATTTCTGTCTCTCTGTTATTGCCACAGGCAGTGTGAGGGTGTCTATGCTTTACTGTACAATACATGTATGAATGTTCATTGTGAGTTTTTCTTCTTACTCAGTTTCAGGTGTAGATTTTAGCATAAATCAATTTGTGCGGAACCTTGGCCTTGAACATCTAATTGACATCTTTGAGAGAGAACAGGTAAGTAGCTATATTCATTTCCAGATAGTCAGCTAGAAAGCAAGGGAATAAATACTGATGGTGTAGAATAACAGTGAGATTTTAAATGAGTGAATATCAGAAGGAGTGGAATGAAGGAAAGGAGTGTAACTGGATTTTTTAAATTGATATATGATATAAATAAATCTTAAAATGTATGTATATATAAAATACTGAGGGCAATAATGTCTGTATCAGTTTGAGAGTGTAGGCATTTTTCCTTTCAGTGGTATAAATGCAGTAAATACATAGTCAGTAATTTCTGGTTTTGTATCTATCGGCTTGAATACGTCTATGAAATTGTATTTCTCAATACAAGTTACACGATTGTAGTTTGTAGCGTATTTATTTAAAGACAAAAGTTTGGAGAAAACGATTGAGTACAAGTAGAGTACGAGAATAATATGCTAAAGTCTCCAGTGTTCATGTTCTTTTCATACTTACTTTTATTTCAATTATTGTGAGGCATATTTTCACTGGCAGGCAACTGTTTTAGTCTGTTTATGGTGGTGTACGAAAAAATGATGTTGCTTTCATTATAGATAACACTGGATGTATTGGTTGAAATGGGACACAAAGAATTGAAGGAAATTGGAATTAATGCTTATGGCCATAGGCATAAAATCATTAAAGGAGTTGAAAGACTTATTTCTGGACAGCAAGGTATATGCTTGTTTCAAATTAAGTATGTAACACTGCCTTTATAGAATGTGTTTTTACAAACGCTTTTAGGTTATTCCAAATCATATTTCATTAAAAAGAATTGGTAATAAAACTTGTCCTAGAAAATAGCACTTCAAAAGATAAGAATGTCTTCTGACTTGAAATACGAGCACTTTTATTTGTGCTGTGAATTACTGTGAATCTTGCCTTTCAGTTCTCTAATTGGTTTTTTTCTTTGTGATCACTATTTTGTGTTTACTTAGGTGAAGTGTAAATCTAGTGCAAAATTATTGTAAGCTTTTTGAGGTAGTGAGTATTTTTCTTCATCAGAGCACTCTGGAGTCCAGAGCACATTCTCTGTTGATAGGTTAGGGCCTGTTATGTACTGTTCCATTGGGTTCTGCAAAAGAATACTGCGTTTGTTCTCAGAAAGCCAGCTGAAATTCTTAGTCTATATCTAAAGTATATGTATCTTAGTTCTTTTGTCAGCTCTTTCTGCATGATGCACAGGAAAAATATTCCTACTGAAGTAGCACTTCAAGTCAGTTCTCTTCTTCCCGATGCCGTTGCTGTCAGTAGTCATGCAGTGTGTTTCACTGCCTAGAGTTGAAATGAACTCTTAAGTAAGCAACTGCTTACGTATAGTTTCCCTGTGATGCACATTAACATGCTGAGCTAAGCACAGATAAATGGGTTAGTGTGTCTGAAATGTTTTTTCTTGTTGAAAGGATGATTTATCAGTATCCACAGATCCGTGAAAATGCCATTGATCTGCATCCAGATCCAGCTGCTGTGCTTCTTATGGCATTTGTAGTGTATGCATGGTAATATATGAGTAGAGGTTTTAAACAGAGATGCTGAAAAACTTTGTTTGAAACTAATGAAATGATTTGAGGGATCACATTTGACATCCACGAGCGTGTATGTGGCTGATAGAAGGCAATTAAAGTCATTGGTAATCTCTGCCTTCCTTAGCAGCTAACCTCTTCATCTTGTAAACTGAGTTTTGAGAAAATGGTCTCTTTAAAAAGAAAAATCTCTTACTGGTTATCATTTCAAATCAGCAGTCTTAAAGCAGTTTCTGAAACTGTTGTTGTGTGTGTTATATTCACAGGACTTAACCCATACCTGACTCTAAATAATTCTGGTAGTGGAACTATTCTCATTGATCTTTCCACTGAAGATAAGGAATTTCAATCGGTAGAAGAAGAGGTATGCCCTTCTTTGTAATCTCTTAGTATTTCTGTTGTTTCTACTAAAGAAGTAGATAAAGAAATATTGCTAGATGATTTAACAGTGCAATAAACGTCTCTAAGCCCAAGAAAAACTTGCATAAGGATACTTGAAATTTCCATCTTTGACTGCGCCACTTATATAATCTATGCTCATGACAGCTGTAATTTTTTTCTTACATATGTTATTACTGCTCGTAGTATTTTTAGAACCTCTGCTACATAGAAAAGCTCTTTGATATAATGCGTAGATTCTGTGCTACTGATTGCCTGTCTATTATACACAGTTTTAAGTCACTTCCTTCCAAAATGTCATAATCACACAGGACAAAATTCTGAAGAAACTATTCAAATAGATTAGTGACAATCTTTCAATTTGAAAACTACACCATGGACTATTCAGGATATGTTGGGTTTTTTTAAATCATTAAACCTGTTCATGTGCATCCACAAAATCTGGCATTACTTAACATACAGTCATTGCCTAAAAATTTCTTGCATGATTTTTTTTTGTTTTTTTTTTAAGACAGAATTAGTTCTTTCGATTATTTGACTGTATGAAGGATATGTGTTTTAAATGTGTCCTGAAACAATGTGATCCTCCTTAAAATTCTCAATCTTCAGATGCAGAGTACTGTCCGGGAGCATAGAGACGGAGGGCATGCTGGTGGAGTCTTCAATAGATACAACATCTTAAAGGTAGCTGTTGTGTTTTTATGGTCGATGGTTATACCTTTAGAGGTATAAATGTTCTATATAATATAAAATGTTCTGCATTTGTTTGTTCAGTTCCATAATGTGATATATTGTTCTGAGACATGCACAGGAAAAAGATCATCTTTCAGCGAAATTCAAAGAATAAAATTATATAGAAAAACTGCTTATGGGTTAATGGGCATTAAGGAATTTTATGAGAAATTGGCATAGAAGGACCTCACAGAAAACTGCAGAATGTTTGAAGAAAGAGATGAAAACAAAGAATCATAGAATCATAGAACCGTTAGGGCT